TCATGAATAATTTTTGGTAGAATCCCATGTTTTCTGATTATACAAACACTTAACTTAGTCCTGTCTTTTGTTGAATGTTGAATATTTAAGTACAGCTTTTATTTTAACTGCAAGCTTTTACTTGTAGCTAGAGTTTTTGATTTTGAAAAAAATAAATCTTTTCCCAAATGGCTTATATTTATCTGTAAAAGCAATTTATAAGGAAAATAAATCTGTCATAATCAGGTCACACAGATATATTGTTAAAAACATTCTAATATCTGATAAAGTTTATGGAATAAGAAAAAATGATGATTTTACTCTTTAAATCTATCATGTCATGAAATGTCTTATATAAGATGTCAATTTTACTGTAGTTGATCTATGCATCTTAGGGAAAGAATAACTTGGATGGAGGTAGATGAAGCATATACATTGTTTTACATAAAAATTAAATAATTTTATCTGAAGCTTAATATTTTTGCATTGAATAGACATAGCCATTGAATTAGACATATATGACACACCAGTAATTCTTTTAAATAAATCTATAGGGGCTTTAAGGTATATTTAAGGTTTTAGATTCCATTATTCAGGCTTATTTCATTATGATAAAACATAGAGAATAGCAGCAATGACTTGAGACTGAAATAATCAAACATCCAGTTATTTTTGTAGAATCAGTTAATTACATGCTAATGCTGACTGAGCTTGTGCTTATGTATGTGTTTAATAATTTTAAGGGGTGTATGTATTTATCATAGCTTTTGTGTATTTTTTAAAAAGAATTCAGTATGAAAATAACATGAATAATGTTTTTTCATTCCTATTACAATTTGCTTTGTCTTCTCCTAGAGTAGCTCAGTGCTACAAATAAATTACATCCATTAGGTAAATTTGGTCAATTATTTTGATAATAATTAGGTCACAATTAGTATTTTCTGGTTATAATATTAATATGAGCTAAATCAAATAATTTTTATACCATAAGTAGCTATTTAGAACACACATCATTTTGCTATTAACTTATTATAAACTGAAAAGGAAGTTTTCATTACCTAAGGCAAAAATTATAAGTAATTTCAAGTCTTTTAAATTAAAGGATAATGGGAATCCTTTGAGATACTTCTGACAAGGAGCATGTTCTCCCAGTGAGGGTCAGAGTTCAATTCCTGCAGCCATCCATCACATTTTTGACTGGTAATAGCTGAATAGCTATAAAATCGAAGGAAGACAGGTGCCCTTGATGACCTCCTAAGGTCTTAGTTCAGCAAATACTCGCACCCATTCACAAACACCACACACAGATATCTATATATTTTATAAAGGGCATACATGATTAGGAAAAGCAAGTTAAAGAAACCTAGATATCTAAGTTATGAAAGGTGCTAAAAATGATGGATTCAAGGGCTTTAGCTAAAATTGGTCAGTCAAAACATATCTATGGATCATTAGGAGTCCCTAAGGAACTTCTAAGTTTGGCATTTATGAACTACTTCTGGGATTTGGTGTTAATTTTAGGTGTTTCCAACTATACCACTTAACATGTTTTTCTAAAATTAACCCAACCACATTTCTTGCCTTTTTTCCACCATCATGTTAAGAAAGATGGTAATTTTCCTTTGAAATACCATGATACTACCTACTTAGACTCACTCACTTATTTAAAGATATTGAAAATTTTCTCCATAATTCTTTATTTCCCCACCTGAAACATAGGCTCTATTTGACAAGAACCTAGCTGTTTTCACAGCTGATCCAGCCACTGACTTAGGTTCTTATTAACTATTTGCTGAACTAGTCAATTAAATAACTACCTTCCAAATCCTGGACCTGAAGGAAGGTTTCATATAAATGAAAACATTGCATTTTGTACAAAATATCATTCCTCTCTTGGAACTACTAAATATACTTTCAGACATAAATCAACCCACATCTTTCCTACATGAAAGGCATGTAATACTATGTAAATTATTTATAAGCCAATTAAAGTAATGGGGGATTTTTTTCTAGGTTATGAAATTAAACCTATTTTGGGTCCATATTCCATGCAGTATGAGAGAAAGATTAGACAGAGCTTCCCATGGATAGCACTGATACTCACGCATTCCATACTCATTAGGACTATCACTGTGCTGGGACATTGTAGTTTAGCATGTTCATCCCAAATTATTTCAACCAAAATCACAAATCTTTTATTTCTCACCAGTCTTTTGATCTTTTGATTCAGGAGATTATCTTTAAAAGGTGATTGATAGAGAGGATTCAAACAACTAGTTGATTGCATTACTTTTAAAATTCCCTTAAAATAGCCTACTGAAATTTAAATATGCTCACAAAGAAAGCACTGAACCTTAATGTACTCTATATCTGAGTTTACAATATGTCATACATAAAGATATTTTGTTATAATAGCTTTTTCTTGAATATCTCTTTAATTATTAACTAAACAAAGGGTAGTGTCATTTAATTACAGGTATCAAAATACAAAAACTTCTAAGTGTTATCAATATCTCTGGAAAGGTAAAGACAACAATGATAGTGTTAGTGTTAGTTGCAATATGCTCCAACTTAGTCAAAACTTGATCTTTACCAAAAAGATTTAATAGCCTAATGTGAGAAAATATACCATTAAATAATGGAGTAAGCTTCTGTGGCTTCAGAATCACAATATTCTTAGGTTGATCGAAACATAATGAGCTTACTAATAAATATTTTATAAAAAAAAATCTTAATGGGTACACTTATTTATTCAGAACTTCAATGTTCTTTGGAATTCCAGCTCTTAAAGTTTGGAGAAAGAAATAAAAAGTTTCATCTAAGCAAAACTAACCTTAATAGTTTTACTAAGATATGACAATCATGTGTTTCAAAATTCAAAATGATTTTAAACATCAACATAGTCTGTGTAAAAATCAACAGTTGTGAATTAAATCAGAAGGAAAAATATAAATGTTGGATGGTTCCACTTACATGTAGAATATATAGAAACTAAACAAAGGGTCAGAAAAAAGATTAAACTTGTAAGCTCACCATAGATCTGAGGCATCTAGGACAGGAGAGGAAGGGGGAATGTCAAAACACAGGGGGTAAGCACACAAGGGACTGTGGCAATGGATCACGGGTGCTATGATGGTGGAAGAACAAGGTGGACTACACCTGAGGGGGGAAATCAAATACTGTCAAAAAATTAACAACCATGTAAGAATAAAATACCTTATAAAAAATCAACAGTTACAACTATTCTTACTAAATTTTTTTTTCTGAAACTTTACCAAATTGGATAGAAACCTATGGACATGTGCACACGCAAACACACATGCACACGCACGTATACGCATGCAGACATGCACACACACACACACACACACACACATAGTTTTTACACCTCTTCTGACAAGAGACTGATAAAACATGTTTTCAGTTCAAAGGCCCAGATTTCTTTCAGTTGTAAGGTTATAGCACACCCTAGCCCAGAATAACAGAATAGCAGTTAACTCTGGCATCAAGTTAAAAGGAAACTTTAAGGGAAGATAAGTAAAATCTGAGAGGTTTTATTAAGTATTCTTGGTTGAATGAGGTGTTTTATTTAGTTGAATTATTTTATTTATTTTTACTTAGAATTTCTAATATGTAATATTTTCTGACTCTCAATTGTGCCTACCATTGGTGAAGTATAGGAAGTCAATTTACCCTAAAGATCACAGAAAGCATAAACAAATCAAACAGATTTCCACTACTCCTCTAAATTTCTCCTCCTGATCATCAAAGAGTCAGACACTTGAAGTGCAAGTATGAAATATGGGACATGGCTGGGATGGTTATTGGTGAATCTTATGCTAATAGGTAACAGCTCTCTGGAGAAAAAATGTACATTATTGAAAAATATATCTGAATATGACACATGTGGCCACCATTCAGCTAAGATCTGTACCATTATTCTTTTATTCATATGTCATACATTAAGGAACGAGCTAAAAAATGAAAAATTCTGATGTGTTTGTAATAAATTTAAACTGTTTTGCTTGTCAATCTTTGAATCTTCATGAATTCCTTATTAAACTACAATGACTATTTCCAGCATATCATAATAGTGCTACTTATATAGCACCTGTCAGTAGGAACTCAGCAATATAAACCTTAAAGGCTTTGATGGGAATGCAAATAAAATACCAATTTGCCAATGCAGCACTCAAGTCTGTAGTATCTGTGGAGTTCACAGGATTCTGATTAGTCTGACATTTTTTGCAGACTTCAGGAAAAGAACTATTATAAAACTTGGAAGCAAACAAAAGGCAAGCTTCCTAACCTTACTTGGCCCATTTTAGATTTATTCCTCTCCTTGCTCCAGGAAAACTTGAAAGGCATCATTCTTTAGTCTAAGATACTGTAAATCTAGATACTGTAAATTACTTGGTCAATGTACATTAAGTTTAATTTAGTCTGACCACCACTACTATTCAAAGCCCAGCAAATTGATTATGTTACTAAAAGGTGATCACATTGATACTGCCATTTAATGAACTCCATGTTTGTGCATTGCTCCTAATGCACAGTATTTTAGATCACTTAGTCAACTCCACTTTAATTGAATTTATCATCTGAAACCTTGACTTGATGCTAATGGTCCAAAAATAGCAGTCTTTCCAGAGTACTCCTGTCTATGAAATGCCATATATTGATGTTTTCTTGCAACAAACACTCGTCTTTCTTGTCTTTTTATCAGGGCCAGTTGTCAGTTATTGAGGTACAATTATAGAAAACTTGCATATAGAAAAAGATATTATTGACCTCTGCAAATTGACTGGCAACATCAAAATTTGAAAGTGGAGCTCAAGCAGACTTAATGGGATCTATGCAAATTTTCCAAACACAGGCCTGAAACTGTCATATGGTTGTTGTTATTTTAAGATACACATGATCTCCTTTTTCTGTTCTATCCCTTTTATTTTTACTAAGTGGAGGAAACATGTTTGCAAGACTAGTCTGACTTTAAAAAATGGCAATTGCATTTGCTGGGTTTCACCCTGAAGGATTATTACCAGTGTCAGTTGGTTTCATAAGCCAGGGCTGGAAAAAAAAAGTGAAAATGATGTAAGGTGACATTAAAACAGGAAAAGGGAGTATAGAAAAGACATGATTTTTGTAGATTTACAAAATCAAGGCAGCATTGTAGAAATTAGAAATGAGCAGAGAATAGTAACTGATTATGCTTTAATTTTTTTAAACGAAAGAAGAACCTAATTTAGTGTTGCATTGTAGTTCAAAAATAGCTTAGCATAATTCATAAGGTGCTGCACTTGAGTAGTGCTGAAGTTCCTCATTATGATAATGCCTTTTGATAACTTTTATTGAACATAAGCATTCCCACGATTAAATCTCTTAATAGGCACCTCTCTTCAGTACGTGTTGCCATAATTTCAAAGCTATGCTATACACATTTCTGTACTGAAACAAGATGATATCTAACACTGCTAACCAAAAATCTACTGAGAGAATAAATATATGGAGAAATAATCTAATTGACTATATGATTTCCAATTAAAAATTACCATCTTTACAAAGTTTTGGGCAAAGAAATAAGAGATTCCTCGTTGTGAATTATACTCATATAATCCAAGTGAAATAAAAAACTAAGTGCATCTTTGGAAGTTACTGAACTTTTTAAATCCCCCTTTCTTTTGCATATGCCCTGTTAATTTCAAATTCACAGGATAAATTAGCTAATTATACCTTTGGCTTCACCACCTCCCCCCTCATTTGTTATGTGAGGTTTGACTTCACCCTAAATTCTAAGAAAAGTTACTGATGACTCAGAGTGTTCACACCAGTTCCCTTGTTCAAATCCTATAGGATGACAAGAAGTAGTCAAGGTGTATGCTTGGCATTGAGCTGTTTGAATCCCAGTTGAGGAACCCTAAATTAAGGAGCCCTAACTTTCTATAAGGTATTACAAGCAAATGTGCCTAATCTTTGAATGATGGGAATATTATCTTTGTCATACTGAGCAACACACAAACCCGCTCCTTGCCCTACAGGACACACTGACCTACCTTGTAATTTTCACATTCTACAAACATTAGTAAAAAGATAATATGGAACAAAGAGGATTAGTGCCTCTGTATACACAGAAATAAAAATGATGCGTGGAAAACTGTCTCCTCAAGACTTCCTATTTCAAACTCACAGAATGCATTTTCTGTTCTGCATCATGTTATTTTAATTTTAATTTTTTGCTTTTAACACTACATCTAGCATCCCCATATCAACTATAATCTCTTGAGAAAAAAGAACTTGTTCTTGTGCTGACATATGTCCTTAATGTATAAATCAGTGTCATAATCTGATTTGTGTTCAATAAATAGCTAAGAAAGAGTATTGATGATGATGACTGATTGAATAATTGATTGGTAGCAGACAACCAACAAAAAATTTAAAAAACTTAAAATTTCTGTCAGTTTTCCAGAGGTTTTGCCCTCACAATGCCAACCCATCTGGATTTTTACTAACTCAAAGAATTTTAGATGTTTGGCATTATGTAGAACACATAACTATTCAATCCACAGAAATCTCACTCTTTAATTCATAGTTTCTGATACGATGTAGAAATAGTTTTTATCCAAGAACCTGGTCTGGTAAAACACATGCACATTTAGCTAAAAGAATTTTATGTAGAAAATATCCTTGAGAAGAGAAGAAATAGAAACTTAAAACAAAGGGAAAAATTGAGTTAAAATGAATTCTAAGCCAAAAGTCATGTTCACATTTTGGCAGCCAATAGATAAAAGGCTTGATTTGCAATGTGGAAACAGAGACAGTGTTCAAAGTACATCACTGATAAAACTGCTTGGAGTACATTCTGTTGGTCGACATATGAAACAGGAAAGCTTCATGATCTTTAAAATACTGCTCCTAGGAACTCCAATAATATAAGAAATCCCACTGCAATTTAGATTTTTGAAAAACATATTAAAATGATTTTAATAGCACATTAAGAAACAATTGGATACAGAAAAGAAAATGACATGGTTCCTTCTTAATAAAATTAAATATTTTATTTTTCAAGTGAAACATGTGGCAATACCTTTCATAGTTTTATTTTTTTATATTTAAGATAAATGCTAAAAGAATATCAACAAATTTTGCAAATATCATGGATCTTATTTGTGTAATAAAATAAATGAAAGCTAAACCCAAAGTCTAAGTAAAAAAAGAAAGGTTTGTTCTTTTTGAGAAAAAAAAAAAGGAATCATTTGAGATGTAAATATCTGACAAATAATGTACAACAGCAAAGGGAATTAAAAGGGGTTTGGGGAAGATATGCACAGTTCTGGTTGTTAAGGTAATTAACCTTTTTTCAAGATCATTAAAAAATGTTTTTCTTGCACACTACTAATTTTCTTTCAGGTTACAGAGGTCATTGTTTAGCAGAACAAGAGGGGAAAAAATGAGAACTGGTATTCATCTACCCAGTGCAAAGGGACCGCAAACAAAATTAACAATCAATGTTAAATTCTTTTGTTCTGGATGTGCCTTCTTACCCTGGAATCTATTATAGGTCAGTGAGATACAACTATAAAATTTGCATCCCTTGAGGTATTCATTACAGTGAAAATTATCAATGTAAAATCGTTCCTTCAGTATTTTGAATATGTCCCACTATCTCCACACTACTTAATATAAGAAGTGGTACTCTTTTTAGCATACAATTTTGCAAGAAACAATTTGTCCCAATTGCACTGCAGAGAATTTTCTTTTTGATTCTGAGTCCCGTGGAGCAGATTTCTAAAGGATAGCTATGTTAAGGACAAAAATGCTGTGCTTCAAGTACTCTTTCAAAACAGAAATGTTGAAAGGCAAAGGTGATGGAATAAATAACTGTAATACCAGTTGTGGGCCAGCACATGGTCATGCTGACCTCCTTAATTTCATAATTGCTTTAGCTTTTCATGTGTAGAAGGTTTATTTTCATGGGTACCTACTAACTTAAATACCTCTGATTTCTGTAAAAACTCTTGATAGAACTGGAGCTAAGGGCATAGCATCACATGGATCTAAAAATTATGGCTATTTCTGATTGATTGACCACATGAGGTTCCAGAAGACAAATCTAATTTACCTAGTTTCCATATTGCAGGAATTGTTTCTTTATCCAATATGAAGGCAATGCAGATAAACCACCTGCATGTGATTTTTACTAGTTCAAAGATTCTGAAAATGAAAACAACAAATAACAAAACTGATGAAAATGATGTGGAAACGTAGAATTGGTCTACATAGGCAAGAAAGATGATGATTTAGGAGGAAACATAGAAGTTTTAAAGTTAAACAAGGCTGAGTTTGAAATATCCCACATTGAAACTTACTTATTGCCTTACTTAATGAGTTTTATTCAATAGATAAATATGCACATGTATTTTTGAACAACACTCCTCATTCACAGCAAGAACTGCATGTAGCAGACCTGTAATGAGTATGTGACATATTACAAAATCAGAACATGGAGTATGACTATGAGTGTTGTGCTCATTAAAAAGATTTATTTGGATCTAGCTTACCTGTCCCTTTGCTTCTTTTGTCTCTTAATATGTCTGCCTATTGGTAAATAACAAATTATTCACTTATTTCCATTTTAAAGATTTACTTTATTTATTTATGCATACGAGAACTGAGGTGTAGGCCAGAGGTACAGGAGGATGAGAGGATTCACCAGAGACAGAGAAGGGAGCAGAACAGGTAGATCTACTGAAATACACTGCTGAGGGGAGCAATGGGCAAGACAGGAGAGGTCTGCTTTGCCATGTGGGTTAGCTCTCTGGCTGGGGTTTGAACTCATACCACAGTAGGTGGCAATAGCTGAATAGCACTGAGACTTTAGTCCCTGAGCAACCAGGGAGGTCCTTATTTTAATTTTAAATTCCAGAAAGAGAAACTGAATGTTCCATGATCTTTTCCTAAACTGGGCTGCTACGCCTGGCAAAGTTGAGCCAACAAAACACGAAATTAAGATCCCAATAGTGTGTGACCAGGGACGCTGGAAGCCCTCTGATGCTAACAAGCATGACAATGTGAACCTGCTATTTAATAATAATGGTCATTAAGCCAAGGACTAAGATTAATACAATCACTTCAAAATTCAATCTTTGCATAACTTGACTGAGCCAGTGTAACCCTGAGCTTGTGGTACTATGTTCTAACTTCATACTTAAAAAGATGTTATTGTGCAGGCCTCCCTGGTAGCCTAGGGGCTAAGTCTCTGTGGTGTCACCATTATGGCCTGTGTTTGATCTCCAGCCAGGAAGCTAACCCACATATGGCACAGTAGACCTCTCCTGTCTCACTCTCTGCTCTCTGGTGAGAATCCTCTCACTTCCCCACTCCCATACCTCTGGCTTACACTCCAGTTCTTCTACATATACACAAAAGAGGTTATCATGAATGGGTGTGATTCAGGAAATTTCCCAGGTGGTAAATTTTCCCATGGTATATACATAAAACCTCGAACTATATTATCCTTCTTGCTTTTAGAAGGGGCTCCTAAAACAGGTAGTTTTTTGTTTTGTGTTTTTTTAAAATACAGGCAAACCTGAAACGCCCTCACAGGCAGCCTGTCAGTACTTTTTTAAAAAATATTTATTTATTTATTTATTTATCTATACAAGCAGTGGGTGCAGTCAGAAGCACGGGAGGGTGAGAGGATTCACCAGAGCCAGAGCGGGGAGCAGAGCAGGCAGAAGGACCGAAGTACACTGCTGAGGGGAGCAGCGGGCGGCAGGAGAGGTCTGCACGCCATGTGGGACCCTCCTCCGGTGGCCGGGGAGCAGCCGGGGATCGAACCGGTGCTGCAGAGGCTGTGGGCAGCTTTGCAATCCAGCGCTCAACCGCTGTGCCACCGGGGAGGCTCAACAGGTGGTTATTTTTAACAGGAGGTCAACTGCTCATTACATTTCCCATATTTCCTCCCAGAAAAAAAATCTAGATTTTTAAAACGTTCTTCATGCTGGCTCATATTTATCTAAAACATCACCTTTGGCCATTCTCTTCCACTATTAACTTCAACATTTATGTTTCACTTACACCATTTTTCCCCCTTCTAGATACAGTAATTACTGAGGTCCCAACACCATACCAAAGAGCATTTGATCACTAAAAGCCAGCAAAACTGTTTCTGGCCGGGACTAAACCTGATTTTTATATTGTATTTATGATAGCTACCATTCAGAATCAACTCTCAGTGAAATGTAACAAATATCGCTTCTAATGTAACTTTCACAGCATCCTGAGAAAGGGCATGTCCTATTAATTCCACAGATAAGGAAAGAGGCTTCAGTAGGTTAGAAATTGTAAGCAATGTAAATAAAAGACAGAGACAGAATTGTTTCTAGACCTTGGCCACCCTGGTGGCTTAGGGGTTCAACTTCAGCACTATTATGACTATGGTCTGAGTCCCAGCCCTGGTCTGTCACAGCAGACCTCTCCTGTCATGTCCATTGCTCCCCTCAGCAGTGTATTTTAGTAAATCTGCCTGCTCTGCTCCTCACTCTGTCTCTGGTGAATCCTCTCACCCTCCCCCAGCGCCGCCCATACCTCTGGCTTACATCCCAGTTCTTTTAGGCAAGAAAAAAATAAATAAATCCTAGACCCATTTAACTTTAAAATGGTTTTGTTGTGCCAAAATACACTCTTTAGTTTAATAATAATGGATAATTTAAGGACCACTTGTCATAGAAGCAACTATATTGTTATTGGCCTGTGCTAATACACGAAGAATACCAAATCTGAAGCCATACAGGCTTGCATATTTTGGCCCCTACCTTTCACTAATCTTAGTGTTCAAGGATGGGGTGAGAATACACACTCATACTGTTTACTGTCTTTTGTGTACTTGTCCTTCCTATGGTAACCAGTGTTTATTTTCAAATGGTATGAGAAAGGTTGTGTCCTTATATCTATGGTCATGATACACAGAAAATCTGAGAATGGTCTAAGAGTCAGGAGGTCTAAAAACAGGTGTGGTCATGGTTTGTAATTCCCTCCCATGCAGGAAAAAAATGGGATCTGTAATATTTTACACAAATATGTTAAATTTCAAGATATTTTATTTTTGGTATTTTTAAAATTATTTTCCTAGTATTATTACTTAAAAAATATGTTTTGTTGTTGTTTTGTTTTGCTACTAGTTGACTGTTTAAATGAAAGCAAAGTAAGTATAATGTTAAGATATAATTTTTCTTCCTTAAAAAGACTAGGAGCAAAAATTTTCAAGTATTTCACACAGTAAGAAACTTCAGAGCATTTTCAGTTTAAATAGTATGTTACAAAATGTCTTCAATGTCGATTTTTGGAAACATGTATCAATAGTCCCAGTTTATAAAAAGATGAATTTTTCTCTCAATAATAGTTACATCATGATATATATTAATATAGATCATAATGACACATTATAAGTTAATATTAAAATGTAGATATTTAAACATTTTTGCATGTTTAAATGTTTAATAATTTCAGTTCACTTCTATTAATTATTTACTAGTTGGACCCCTGTTAAACTTTTATAGATAGCTTCACAAATATTTGAGGTTCCTGAAACCTCAGAATTATAATCAATGCAAAGACTCTCTTTTTTGACCAAACTCTAGTCAAGCTCTTCTGAACTCTCTTCTCAACTAGTTAGGTTGTCAGCTTGAGTTAGGTTGTCAGCTTGAGTAGCTGATGATGCTTGATAGCTGATCATTGGGTTCCTCATTCTCAACCAACCCCCAAGAGATGTCTGATCACCTTGGCTGCCATCAGCAAGAATTCCATTAGGTAAGATTAGCCAGAGCCCAAATCCCCCCTTATCTGTAATGGTTCCTTTCAGTAATTTTCAATCCACAGACCCCACCCTCCTCCTTGGTTATCAAGTCCCAGTTTTCTTTGTTGTATTCAGATTTGAGCTCAATCTCTCATCATTGCAAAACCCCATTGCAATGGGTCCTACATTTGTAGCAATGGCCATGAATCAAGTCTACCTTTCTCTATTTTATCAAGAGTCATCAAATAAGTTTTTCTTTAACATGAGTATATAAAGACTCCACAAGGAATTTTCCCTTGTGTAGCTGTTTCAAATATTCAGTGAGCTAGCATAAGTCACATGGCTCAACCCAGTGCAGGGCACCTGAGAGATATTTCGGGTTTTTTTTCCTTTCTGTGAAAGTAGACTTTCAAGAAGGAAAATCACGACTGCCATCAGTCATAAACTGAACACCTATCCAGGTTTTTATTTAGCTCGTTAATTTGTGAGCAAACAAAAAATATGTTAAAATTGGTTCAAATGAAAATGTTTTAGAGGTTTTCTATTCTCTAGGATAAAATTAATTTGCATTTATTTTTTAAGGATTTATTTATTTATTTATACAAGAACCGGGTACAGGCCAGATGCGCGGGTGGGTGAGAGGATTCACCAGAGACAGAATGGTGAACAGAACAGGCAGACTGACGAAATACACTGCTGAGGGGAGCAGCAGGTGAGACAGGAGAGGTCTGCCACACAATGTGGGACCCTCGCTGGCTGGCCAGGATCAAACTGGCGCTGCAGAGGCTGAGGACAGCTTCACAGCGCTGTGCTCAACAGCCTGCGCCACCAAGACAGGCCAAATTAATTTGCATTTCTATGGACAGGAAATATCTGCATTATTGTCAGTTTTCTACAAGGTAGCTTACAGAGTTGTAAAGAAGATCTTCCCTGATATAAGAGACCCCCAAAGGTGCACATTGTTATATAATCAGATAACCCCAAGCGGGTAAAGAATGTCCAGTGCACCACTGAAAGGACACTCAGAAAACACACTCCAAGTCCTTTCTTTTGATAATTATTATTCCATTTCCAAGACAATTTATTGACACTTGCTTTTATGTAAATGTATTAATTTTAGGATCAAATCTGTATTAATTTCCTTATCCTCACCACTAGTATATGCTCAAAAGTCTAAAAAAAATGATTGAAATAATTTATAATTGTGACTCCTACTTAGACTGCACTTTGGTTTATGCAAAAGAGCTTTCCCATGCTTCCTGTCATCCACTCAGTTATCTCACACACTGAACACTAAAAAAGCAATGGCAGTCACAACATTATTTTCAATTCAATCTAATAAATATTTAATAAGCATCTACTCCCTGAAAAAATGAGGAGGGTACTAACTCTAGTGCTTTGATTTAGATCTCTTCAC